CCAATCAGAGCACACCTCGCTTTTCAGACCGATGAGCTTTGTAAAAATCGACGCGTTTCAGAAAGGCGGGGCATAGAGGAGAAACAATAATGTACAGTATGTGGAAAATAATGTGTTTTTTGAACCTTAAACCACATAAACACATTTCATTACACCAAATACAAAAAAAAATTTCTTTTTAGGAACATCATATGACCCCTTTAATATTTCTGTAAAACATTTAAATGCGTTTTAGAATTTCACTATGAATTAATTAATACAAAACCCTAACAATCAAAACAGCAATTTTTTGGTTACCAGCCCAGGTCTTTAAGCACCAGGCAACACTATCACTATGATGGTTTCACAGTGTTCATGCAGAGAGATGTACCCAGGTTGTGATGGTCTTTCTGATCGTTAAAGAGGTGGGTGACCTTCTCCATTAGTTCCCATTTCTCACAGCAGCCCTGGTAGTTCACAAAGTTACGTGCCAGAATCTCCTTCAGCTGCCGCACACTGAGGCTTTCGATGTCCTCCACCCTGCTCAGGTCAGACAGAGAGGCTCTTCTGCTGTGCACCAGCGTCTCCTCGCTGTCTGTGGACTACGTGAAGCGCAGATAAAACACGATTATATCTGGACAAGAGGCTACTACAATATTCAAAAGTAAAGCATATTCCATCCATACCTCTTCCTCATCATCCTCATCATCTTCTTCGCCCTCCTCATCTTCTCCATCTCCATCTTCTTCCTCCTCCTCCTCCTCTTCCTCCTCCTCCTCCTCCTCCTCCTCCTCCTCCGTGAGGGCTTCAGATTCTGCAAGAGGATGGGAAGGCAGTGGAGGCACAGACGGCTGTGAACGGGATTCGGCACTGCCGCTGCCTCTGGGAGTTTGTTGAGCCAGCACCAGCTCCACCAGCTCCTCCTTCTCTCGGCACATCTGCGTGGGGGTTTCGTGCAGGTGGAGATAGTCACGGAGGTCCTTCACCTTCAGCCTCATCAACTCTGCCCGTTCAAAGAAGGTGCAGTGGAGCCGCTGACAGGTGTGGCACATCCACGGCCGGAGGTCCATCTGCACCGAGCAGCGGCTGCAGAAGCTGTTTTTGCAGTCCACGCAGACATGCTATGAAACGGATTGAAATCAGCAAAAACGCTCAAATCTAATTAGAATTTATCTGTTTTTCTTTTTACTTTAACAGCAGGATTTGAGTAGATGTAACCTGATTTACCGTTCTTATGGCGTCAAACTGGCCTCCGCAGGCCTTGCACAAGTGTTCGGGTGGTGCTGGGAGGAGGCTGGAGCCCGAGTTTGTGTAGGCCTGGTGCCATGAGCTGCCGTTTTCTTCCACGGTGGCGGTGATGTCCACACAGAGCAAGCTATAATATAAGGTCTGCACAACCCATCCTGCCCATACAACAAAGTATTACATACAAATATATTGACAAAAATATGTGTCTAGTTATTCTAAGATTGGATTATTTATTCTGCAAGTCAATATATGTCTGTATTTGCTATTAATAAATATTTCCCAACAGGAAACAAAACTCTGATGTATCACTCTGATGAAGGATCTGAAGAAGTGACCCTATTAAATTAAGTTGTATATTATGTTTTAAAAAACATTTCAATATTGATGAGCCAGCCTAACTAATAAGATAACTGCAGATCAAATTGGACAAATATAAATTACAGTCAGTGTAAAAATGTCATCTTCATATTATATTCAGTCTAACCTTTTTTTTTCAGAAAGTCTAGAGTAAAGAAAGTCTATCAGTGACAATCTTTTTTACCTTATTGAGCATTTTAATAGGATTATCAACCAGTATTAATTCTATACTATGACAGAATTTGTTAATATTTTGCTTTTATTTTTATATCTTCAGTTTTCATTTTAATTTCAGTTTAAGTAATTATGTTATGTCTTTTGTCATTTTTATCTACTTGTTTTTATAGAGAGAGAGAGAGAGAGAGAGAGCGCATACATTTATTTCAATTCAGTTTGAGTTTTTCATCTATTTTTTTTCATCTAATATTTATGTTTTATTTTCAAATTTATTTTAATTAACCAAAACAATTATTGAATTGTTTTATTAAAAAAAATAACATTAATGTTATTAACAGTGTTCTTTTTTACCTTATTGAGCATTTTAATAGGATTATCAACCAGTATTAATTCTATACTATGACAGAATTTGTTAATATTTTGCTTTTATTTTTATATCTTCAGTTTTCATTTTAATTTCAGTTTAAGTAATTGTTATGTTATGTCTTTTGTCATTTTTATCTACTTGTTTTTATAGAGAGAGAGAGAGAGAGAGAGAGAGCGCATACATTTATTTCAATTCAGTTTGAGTTTTTCATCTATTTTTTTTCATCTAATATTTATGTTTTATTTTCAAATTTATTTTAATTAACCAAAACAATTATTGAATTGTTTTATTTAAAAAAATAACATTAATGTTATTAACAGTGTTGCTATTTTAAAACAAAACAAGTGTTTTATATGGCACTTGGGCCTATTAGAATAATTTATTATAATCAAACATGAACAAAATGACAGTTCAATTTGGCCCTGCTCGTTATCCAAAGAAGTAATGGTAAAGTGCAGTAGTACTGCGATTGCTCTATTGAGCATTATTGTGATGCAGTAAGACATTTACATGTATGCAGCCTACTAAGACTGCTTTGCTATGATGGGCGCTTATGATGTCCAAAATTGCTGTCTAGACAGGCAGAACACTGGGTTTTGAGAAATAGCAATAGACTGTATCTTACAGAATATAATTAAGGTAAATTAATGCATATGAAATCTTACCCAAAATATCCGTTGCAACGTCCTATTACAGCCATAAAATATGTCTTTAATCGGGAACGCATTAACGATGAAATACTAAATGAACGAGTACGCTCTGTACAGAAATATAGGTGAAATCGCTCTGCAGTTCCCTTGACTAACGCAAAGAAGTATGACGTCAGAACGTGTAATCACGCGAGAAAAGCCGACTCCTGCCTAAACGAGGGTTTCCAGTGTTGCCATTTCCGATTGTAAAATGTTACTGGATTACCATTGTAAACACACTGCAATAAATCCAAGTAGCATACACTGAAAAATAAAAGTATATATATATATATATATATATATATATAATATTTAGGCATTTTTATATGTAAAATAAAAATAGAATAATTACCTACAAATAATAAATACAGAAGTATATGAAAGAAAATTATAAATTAGATTAGACTAAATTAATTAATATGTATTGCAGGTACTGTAATGTAGAGAGTTAAGTTAAAGGCATTCCTTTTTTCAGATGCTTTAAGGAATGGAATAAAAGTTTATAAAATAAAATATTTGTACATGCCACAAAACAGTTTTTTTCTCGTTTTTCTCAACTTCGATTGTAAAACCTTCCATGTGCAGATTTGCCAGGTGGTTATTTTTCTAGCGGGATCTGGCAACAGTCTTTTTTCTTCCTCTCTTGTGGTTTAGTGATCATCAGAGTTATACTGCCATCAGCTGGGGTTGATAATACAAGGATGAACATAATGTTTATGTTTCTTAAATATTTACTCCAGAATTCATTAGTCAGAATTGATTCTTTTTTATTTTCTTCTATTTCATAAATGTAGTACAGATGGCATTCAGATTTGTTTATTTATGCCTTTATGTTATGGTGCGTAACCAGCTGCATGTGATTTATGTAAAAGCCGACTCCTGCCTAAACGAGGGTTTCCAGTGTTGCCATTTCCGCATAATTTTATTATTTTTCTTTAAAAAAAAAAATCAAATAACATGAGCATAATATTTTATACTTACATTAACAAATTATCATTGTTATTAATGCATTTTACCTTATTGTAAAATGTTACTGGATTACCATTGTAAACACACTGCAATAAATCCAAGTAGCATACACTGAAAAATAAAAGTATATATATATATATATATATATATATATAAT